ACACACACACACACACACACACACACACACACACACACACACACACACACACACACACCACCAGAACCTTAAATAATTCAACCACCTAAAAATCAAATACACCTACATGACAAGAACCACCATAATGAAAAGTGTAAGATAACTGACATACTGAGAAAAAGACATGTAGGTCAAGATAGAGCCAAATACCTAACTTCCAGAATACACAAAAAGCTCTTGTAAATAAAAATACCATGTATAAAAAGAAGAATTAGCTAAAAATATACTAAGGAAACAAAAAAAACCGTTAAAAATGAATTTTTGGAGAACCTGGGTGGCTCAGTTGGTTGAGCTCAGGTCATGATCTTGGGGTTGTGAAATTGAGCCCCACACGGGCCTCTGCACTTAGCTGGGTACTTAAGATTCTGCTTAAGATTCTCTCCCTCTCCACACCATTCAACCGTCCAAATGGGGACATCGGTGATCCTGAGAGAGATTTTACTTGTGCTCTCCCAGAAGAGAAGCACTGCCACTCCTGAAAAACTACTTCTCAATTTAGTTCTGTCTGAACTTTCATGCTTCTTGATATCCCAAATGCAAAAATAATAGTAAGCTCAGGCTTAACACTTCCCAAATTGTTTGGATTTATATGGCATTTCGATATGTATAGGAAAATCAAAAGGCTCCAAATTCAAAGAAATAACAGAATATGGGGGGGAAAAGGAAATAGGCTAAGATATGATTACAAAGTAGCAAGTGCACGGGGTATATCTGACTCTTAATGGTAAGACTGGACTCTCCCCGGTGAGCCCGGAAGTACTAACAAAATTTGGAGGGAAGAAAAAAAAAAAAAAAAAAAACAGGATAAGGTAAGAGTGAAGTTTGAGAAGCAAAGTAACCAGAAATGCCAGAACTCGGAATGCTTCAAGGCTTGAAAAAAGCCTGGATGGAAAAATGGGTTGAAAGTAAAAATTAGTGAGACTATCCCATCAGCGTGCACTTCATCTTTTGCTCGGAATAGCATTTTCAACATATGGTGCATAAAAATAAAGTTGAGCTGCTAAGAATAATGTAGTGGTTAAGAAAGTGACCTCTGGAGCCAGGATACTTAAGTTGGAATCCTAACTCTGCAATCCACTAGCTGAATGACTCGAAGCAAATTCCTGTGGGTTAAACAGCAGTACCTGCATCATAGGGATGCAGGGAAGATTAAATTTGTGATGTGCACAGTGCCTGGCATATTCTAAGGGCTCAGCAAATGTTAGAAAACAGTAGTACCAATAAGAATAGCTTTTATTTCTATAAAACAGTATGGTGAAAAGGAATATTAGCTTCTCTCTTTTAGTTAGGTATGCTTAAGAGAAGCCAGTTACAAATTTTATACATTGCACTAGCTGGAGCAGTTTACCCTAAGTCAGAATGAGCTAAGAAGAAACAAACACCTGGAGTTTGATCACATAATGGAGAGAAAACATGTCCCAAACTGGGCTCCCTCTTGTCAGAAATCACCTAGGCTTTGGAAATCCAAGCTTCAAATCATGGTAGTCTGTGACTTGAGCTAAGCTCTTAACATCTCAGTCTATTTCTCACCAAATGGATTTAATACTTAATGAAGTTTTTCTGACAGTTCAAAGCGATAAAGTGTATCAAGTAACCAAGTAACCGAGAACCTAGTAAGTGCTCTAGAAACACACCATTAATGCAATTAGCATGAGATTCCCATCTTGGCATACAGCCCCCTTCTCCATCCCATGAAGCAAATCCTATTACAGGTTTTCTCCACTATCTCTAAGTTCACTTTAGGCCACATCACCTTTACAAAAGACCTACATTAATACCTGTTTTTGTTAACCAAAAGAAATCTGGAAGAGGATTTTCATGTTGATGAAACAATAATTGCTTCCACACCTTATACCACTTCAACTTGAAAAAAGTTACACAGGGTACTTTTGGGTAGCAAGGAACCTGTCCTTCATCCTTTCACTATTACTGCTGCCACAACCAGGTTATGAAGAGTGGTTGCTTCAGCTCTCTTTTCTAATCCAGTCTTAAACACAAAGGGCTTGACTACAATTTATAGGACAAAAAATAACGCTTCAGTAAAGCACTAACTTAATTCACCTATTATGAGTCTCACTGGTTTCATTAACAAAAAAATCAAGTTGAGATGATAAATAGGTTCTCTCTTGCATGCCAACTCTGATTACAGGTGAGTCCTAAAATGTAATGCTATGAAAGAATCGGACCTTGCGTCTGGGCACGGCAACAGAAAAGGTGCTGAGGTCATTCACGAGTGTGTGCCATGGGCACCAGAAAAGAGGAAAGAAAGGCTAGTGTGGGCATGCACAAAAGATAGTGCAATGGAGAATGATACGGGGGATGTATGTGGGTGTACTTTTCTTACCTGAAATGTTAACCATTTTTAGATGCAATTAGTAAGTGAACATGGAACGTGTACATGTGCCAAGCACTGTTCTAAAGACGTGTAATTATTAACTCCATTAATCCTCATGACAGCCTTGCAAAGGAAGCAGATATTAGCATCCTCACTTTACAGCCAGTGAGTCAGAGTCAACATTTGAATCCAGGACTTTTGGCTCCAGAGTCATCTTTTAACCCATACGCTACACTCTCAGATAAAACTAATGCAACCTCTCCGGCTGGAGAACATTTCCAGGATGCAGTTTCACTTGAAAAGGCAGCTTTCAGGGGTTAAGCATCCAACTCTTGGTTTCAGCTCAAGTCATGATCTCGGGGTCATGGGATCGCACCCCACGTTGGGCTCCTTGCTCAGATCAGGGTTGGCTTGGGGTTCTTTCTCCTTTTCCCTCTGCCCCTCACCCCACTCTCTAATAAATAAATCTTTAAAAAGGGGGGACAGCTTTCAGAAAGACTGCATTAAAACATTATCTCCAGATATTACCTAAAAACATAGAATTTATAGTGAGATCTCTGCGTTCAGCATCTTTCTGCCAATCAGTTGTGAATTCTACCTCTGCATGTCTTCCATCAGTGACAACATCAATCCGCAGTGTAGTAATTTCAAAATTTTCTTCATGAAGCTGTAATGAAATGTTTAGTTTTTAGTATCACTGGATGAATTGAAAAAAATAAATGAGTCCTGACAAGTATATCTTCTTTCTTTTCAAAGTCACCTAGTACACATGTATTTTGAAACAGAAAGACACAAGCAATATTCAAGATAGATCCAAAGAATAATTTTAAAAAAATAAATCCATCTTAATTAAAAAGGATGAGTCTGACATTAAAAAAAAAAAAAAAGACAATTCCAACAAATGTTGTGGCAGAGAACAGAAAAGGCCCTCAAAACAGTGTATTCCAGTTCTTCATTTCAAATTAGGCTACTCTGAAATATTTTTTAATAGCTCCAGTTTGCCTCTTAAGAGCTGAATATCAATTTATAACATATATACCATTAGCAAAGGACTGACAGAGGAAGAAATACAAACCATTAACTCCTTCTGCAACTCTTACTGGTAACCATCAACGAAGCTGAAATAAAAATATATGTATCGTGGGAAGAGAGATGAGCTCCAGCTGGGAAAAAGCAGAGTGGCTTCAGGATAGATGACATGTGAGCTGAGCCTTGAAAACTAAGTAGGATCTGTATGTGCACACGTGGAAAGAGAATTTCAATGAAGAGAGAAGATAACCAAAGGCACAGCTGAGAGAAAGAGGGATATATGCACAAGAAAGTATTGCTGACAAGTAGCATGCTAGCATTTAGGGTAGACAGCAAAGGGTTTTACATGCCACTGAGGAATTTGGAATCTCTTCATTAAGAATTGAAAGCTACTAATGATCACTGTAAGTCTGTTCTAGAATTCCTCTCAATCTCATTTCTTCTCTAAAAAGTTAGATCTCACTATAAGATTCTAGAACTCAAGAATTTGAAGCATAAGTTTTCTATAAAGGTAAGTGGTCAGAAAAGGGTTTGAAATATGGAAGACTGAAAATCACTGTAGGAAACAGACCCCTGATATGTCTCCCTTACCCAGGCAAAGAACCAGAGATTAACTCACTAGAAAGGCTGACCTATGAATAGTCACAATCTGGGACACCAGATACAGAGGATGGTGGGAGTGAAGCACCACAATGAAAACAAGATTAAGTGAAAAAAATGAACACGACCCTCATTCTCTTTCCCCACTTGGTTTTCCAAATGCTAATAATAACCAGGCTTGTTCTAACCTGAATTACACTAAAGGATTCTTCTGATTTTCCTCAATGAAAAGGCCTACCGATACTGACACTGGTGATCCCACAACTAACTGGCTGACATTTCCACATAAACTACGGTAAAGTTCGCAAGTCACTTTACAAACACCAGAGGATCACCCAAACTTAAGAACCAAACCCACATTTAAGGAAAGCCAACAGCAAAGACAGAAAAAGTTCAGAGGAAAGAGAGTGTCAAAGCAACTATAACTGATATCCTAAAGAAAGAAACATAATGCATCTGAAACAAGAAGAGAAAGTTTTCAAAAGAAATATTCTGAGAAACACCTCTTAAAAATTTTAAAAATGGCAAAGGTTGCAAATATAACAGGAAAATTGGATGATCAAGTTAAGGCAACCTCATGGAAAGTAAAATAAAGATATGAGAATATAAAATAGGAGAGGGGCGCCTGAGTGGCTCAGTCAGTTAAGTGACTGACTTCGGCTCAGGTCATGATCTCAGGGTCCTGGGATCAAGCCCTGTGTAAGGCTCAGCGTGCAGCAGGGAGTCTGCTTCTCTCTCTCCCTCTGCCCCTCCCCCCTGCTCATGCTCACTCACTCTCTCAAATGAATAAAAAAAACAAATATAAAATAGACAAAAGATAAAACTAGAAGATCAGTCCCCACAGTCCAACATCCAACATCACAGCAGATTCCAAAGGTGAAGACCCTGAACAAAGGGGATGGAATTATGAGAGGAATACAAGAGGGCCCACTAAGTATCCCTACACAATGAATGAAAAGACACATCCAAACCAAAGCACAGCGTCTTGAAATTAAAAACACTACATAAAAAGATCAGAAAGGCTTCCTAAGGCGGGGTGGAGGGTGGGATCTGGTCTCAGAGGAGAAATCTGAATGAGTTCAGACTTCCCAGTGGCAGTACTGGCAGGTAGCAAACAAAGGCTTTCCACTTCTGAGTGAAAATGATTGTCAGCCTGGAATTCCATAGCTAATAAAACTATCAGACCAGTGTGAAGGTAAAATAAAAATATTTGCAGACATGTAGGTTTTTTCAGGTTTCAGACTATTAAAATGAGAGCCAAAAAAGAAAAAGACAAAAACAAGAAAGAATATCACATAGGACTCAAGAACCAGGCTGTCTAACAAGGAAGAGGCCAGGAAATTCCCAGCATGTGGTGCAGGCAAATCTGAGGATGAGGAATGGGGAGCCAGCCCACAACCTGCACATGTGAGAAGAGGGAATTCACCAGATGAAGTGGCTCAAAACACGGGAACTGAAACTTGATGGGTTTCATCTAGTAAGAGGAACGTCACAGAGTACAGGAACGAATTAGTGGCACACAGAAAGCTAGATAAAAGAAAAATGCTGTTAAGTGCAGGGAAAACCAAAATCACCCCAGAAAGAGATGCAGCGCAATACACTTCATAATCCAGCTGTAACCCATTCAGTAAGAAATGAAAACACTGAACGTGAATTCAACCAAACATGATGGTCCAGGCATAGTGTGAAGATGAGGGAGGGAGAGCTGTGTGCACTGTGGGCAAGAAGCTGCCACTCTCCTGTGCAGCAAGTCAGCACACAACATCTCACAACTGGGAAATCTGAAACAAAGACAAACTCTGCAGCACAGAAATGACTTCTTTAGAAATGTGGGGCTAACAGGTAAGTACCATAGAAACTAGTTGAAAGTGGCTGTAGCAAAGGAGGATGCAGGGTGTAAAAGGGAGAGAGAGACGGACATATTTTATTAGTTTTTCGTCACTTGCTTTTTTAAAACTAGAAAAAACATATTAAACTTTTAAAAATTACAAAAAAGACAATGTAATTGCTGTCAAACCTTTCACTTACCCTGGCAGTAATTGTTCCATGCTTTTCTCCTTTATTGTTTATCATACGAATACCCGCAGCCTGAAACATGTCCTTCATTTGAGCAGGGGTAGCAGTGGTAGCAAAATCCACATCTTGAGGCTTTACTCCATTTAATAAATCCCTCACTGCTCCTCCTGCTATTCTTAATTCATGATTTTCTTTGACAAATAATTCTGAGGAGAAAGAATATATTTTACTTCAGTTTATTTAAGAATTACAGAAGTACAAGGTTTTTCCAATCTATTAGGGACAGCAGAAATTATTTAACTAGACTTTTCATATAAAAATTAGAACAAGGCCCACAGAAATGAAGTGACTTACCTAGAGCAGAATGCCTCTCACAACTCTAAGAGCAGGGAACTTGCAGATTATTTTCTTGGCAGATTCGGAAGATAATTCAGAATTATCTTCCGAATTATCTTGCACAATCCCCCAAGGTCACTGATATACATTTGAATTATAACCAAAAAGTGAACAATTCTGCTTTTTCTCCAAGTTTATGTGCATACTTCAGAAACGTGAGGTGTTCTTAGACATATTTCTCTTTGTGTACTGATGCCAAGGCTGTAACATTCATGCATGAAACTATGCAACTGTCAAACAACATTAGTCTATCACCCCAGGTATGATAACGTTACAGCTAAGAATCCCTCAAGAAATAATCTGCATACAATGTTTATTTCTGCTCCTCTCTGTGCTCTAGAAAAGACCTAGGAAAGCTCAAACTACTGTGAGGGCCTCAATATAGGAGACCCAGAGTGGACTCCTCTAGGTACAAGATAAGACAAAGTCCATTGTTAATTACTCATGACCAAAGGACATCATATGGCACCTAGGGAGAATGACATCCAGAAACTGGCCTTATACAACCGCCTGAGCCTTGGTATTGCCAAAAGGTGGCCTGGCACCCACAACTGGGCCCTGATATTTTCCTGTTGAACCCAAACAATGTCAGAGAACATCCACATCAGACAAGTCCACTCGGTGACCATGATGGATCGGTTAAAACAAGACAACTAGTAATCCTGTCTGAACACAGAAGACATGAATACTATCAAAGACACCACCTTATGACAATTAATAATATGTGTGACTTCTCCTTATTTATCCACCAGTTAACAGAGCACTGTGTTTTCACCTTCTAGGTAAGAATTAAGACACCCATCACAGATTTATCCTTGCTTCCTGATACCCGCTAATCCACAGGAAAACTGTACTTCTTATACCCACCCCAAAATACGATACAAGCACAAACCCTACAAGAAGTCCTTTCTAAAAACCTTTGGCTGAGGTACTCCAAGGTTCTCCATGGTCAGTGTTCTCCTAACAACTCACCTGGTCTCTGGCTGGAGGGCACTAACCTGAGCACTGAACTAAATACATCAGAGTTCTGGCACCCCTCCTCACAAGCTTGTATGTCAACCTCCGTCCCCGCCCTAAATCTGTGCTTGCGCATCCTCTTCCTCTTACTTACCCTCCCTAAGCCTTCAGCCCAACTCTCCAGAGACCACCTAAAACGATCTGCTCCAAAGTAATAAATGCTCCCTCCATTTACCTTCCAACCTAAATTTTTAGCTGTCCCAGACCATCCTAAGTCCTTTCCAAGAGTATGTGTTGTTCATCTTCCTTTCACTCCACATTGCTGATCAAGTCCTACTGACTATATGTCCCTATTAAGGGTTCCTTCATATAGGGTTCATGGTTTCTTAAAATAAAATATAAAAACCAGGTGGTATGGTAGTAAAAAAAGAAAAAAAAAAAAAAACGAAAAACCATGTATGTTAGTCTGGTTTTCATGAGATTTATAGAGGTCCATGACCCAAAAAGTTAAGGACTGCCAAACTATTTCTGGACTCTATCCTCATTTCTCCCTTGTTCAGGGCCTCTTCATCTCCTTCCTGAACAAGAGTGCTCCATCAGCCTCCTTAAATCCAGCTTCCACCATCTAGACAGAGGGTTCTAAATCACTCGCTTGATTAGGCTCTGCCACTGTTCCTCTGACGACTCCCAGCACAATATCCACATTTCCGCAGTACATTATACAAGGGCCTCTGACCCAGTTCTGTCTCCTCTCTCACTAATCTCTGCATCGCACTTTACACTCAAACTCTCCCTGGAGTTTCTCTCTGTAACTTTGCTTGCAAAGATCACTTCACCTAAACACCTTCCCAACTTACCTCGCTAAGCAGCTGGCCATGAAATGTCTTGGTGCACAACCCACACGAGAAAGACATTTGGCATGTCAGTCACTCATACCTAAACCGAACTTTCAGGATTTCATACCACATAATCTCATCTATTCTACCCATTTTCCTCTGTTTTTCTAATGCTGGTTATGACCATTAAATTGACTTTAAGGTCCACTAGTGGGTTACTACCCACAATGAGGAAAACACTAACCTAGCAATCCTTATTCATCTTTTGTGATTCAGTTTAGGAAGCTTCTCCTGATGGTGAAGTTAAATCAATTTCTTCTAAGCTACTAGAGAAGCCTATTTTTTATGCATACTAATTATATTAAAATTACCTGTTCATTCTCAAGGTAGAATACCTATCTTACTTATCTTTACACCAATGTGGCTCACAATGGAACCTAATTGTGATATCCCTGCTTCAAAAAAACTCAAAAAAAAAAAAAATCAGACTGACCTCATTGGGAAAGTATTTTTGAAAGATTTTCTTCCTTCAATACAGTAAGAAACTATTTTGAAATGCAAAAAATGAGTAAGTTTTACTCTCACTTGAACCTACTTTAACAGGATGAAGGTCAAAACTGAATACAAGATAACCTCTGTTTTAAGATTCTCATGCTAGCTCGACCAAAATTTTAAGTTCAAAGTCACCTAATAAATTAACTGCATTACACAAAGAGATACAGAATTCAAAGTAATCTATTCATCATTTTGATTAACCATATGGAAATAGATAACTATTTCCCAAAAACTCACAATTCTAACATAATACAACTGAGAGAGGCGTATTAAGGCAAAAAATGTGCCCATGTGGAACAGTCATAAAAACTGTAAGAAATGCAATGATTTTATGCTGACCTAAAAGAGACGGGATTATCAAGCTTACACACTCCTTTTCCTCAATTACTGGTATCGTCAATCTCACAGAAATCCACATTTCAATGAATTTTGTAAACTACATACTCAGGAAAATAATACCTAATGCAGCTAAATTTAATTGTAAATTTAAGCCTGAGACTCAAGAAATGCATAATTTCATCATTCCAAAGCTATTAATCTGCTTCAACTGCCACAGCTGATAGTAAGCTATTTTTAATTATTATCGTTAGCAATCCAAAGGACCATATTATGTCAGAAAATTTTTATGATTGTCTATTTTTTTATTTTAATTTTCAATCTAATTTTCATTAACTTCTTCCCTTTACAATTTTGAATTTTAAGTTTTGGAGGCAGGGGTACAGAAAGTGCAACTAAAATGGGAAGACCATTTTATGTCATGACTATTCCTACCAAAAAATAAATGATCTGTTCTTCAGTTTTTCCAGGATCTCCCAAACTTGAAGAGTGATCAGGTGTTCCTACTGTCCCAAAAGTTACAATGATGGCTTTATGACAGCACATACCAAAGCAGTTAAAAGCTAACCACTGAGTGCTAATGCCCAGTATTTCTTATGGACCACAGCCAAGCGACCAAAGAAATCCTGGCTTGTCCACTAACCACATTAACTTAGGAAAAGAAATCAATGTTTGGAACTTCAGTCTCATGTATAGAATGGAGAAAAAAATCTCATATGCCCCTAGCATGCCTCTACAATGTTGTCCTCAAGCAAAAGGAAAAATAAATTACATGAAATAAACTGACAAATTATAAAATCCTATACAGTGTACAGATAATCCACTACCCTAGCTTCACTAAATCTTGCATACTGGAAACTAATTTCACATGTGGCAAAGCACCTATTAGGATTTGAGAACTGGTATAGTATTCAGCTGCACAGTATTATCACCATACAACAGCCATCATTTGTGTGTATGTGTTTGTGCGTTGTTTTCACGCAGAACATCTTATTTTACCAGACCACGCAAGTCTTTAGAAAGCAGCAAAAACCAAATAAAACCAATTATTTGATTTTCTAACTGATGAGCTTTGCACTAAAAGATTCCATTCTTGCCACTTCCACTCTAACCTAAAAAAGTCAACTTTAAAATATGTCCGTGCTGGGGCATCTGGGTGGCTTGGACAGTTGGGCGTCTGCCCTCGGCTCGGGTCATGATCCCAGGGTCCCACATCGGGCTCCCTGCTGAGCAGGGAGCCTGCTTCTCCCTCTCCCTCTGCCTGCTGCTTCCCCTGCTTATACACTCTCTGTCAAAAATAAATAAAATCTTTAAAAAAAAAAAAAAATGAATATGTCTGTGCTACCATTTGCGAGGCTTTGGAGGACAAGACCCTGGGGGTAAATAGACCTGTATCTTCCCACCGTATTGAGTTTCTAAATCCATAGGATTTCACCTCTCAAGATGGAGACAATTCAACTCTTGAGGTAAGGGTTAGTCAGGCAAATGAATTTGTTAAAATAAAAGATGTTCAAGAACCTATAGCAATCAATATCCAGAGCCTTGTTTCCAAAAGAAAAATGCAGAAGGACCTGAAACAGGCCACCAAGAGTTAATTACCTACATCTAAGCATTTGGCACCTTTCTTCCAAGAGCCCTCTTGCAACTGAAGGTGGGAAGATTAGGAGCTGGGAAAGGTATATAAAGAAAGAACAAGAGAGGAAGACCCTGTGGCTGGGGCTGTTGCAGCCTCGATTGCCCGGCGGGGGATCGGAGCCAAACTGTCATTGTCAGAATGTCGGGCAAAGACCGAATTGAAATCTTTCCCTCGCGCATGGCACAGACCATCATGAAGGCTCGATTAAAAGGAGCAGAGACAGGTCAAAACCTCCTGAAGAAAAAATCTGATATCTTAACTCTTCGATTTCGACAGATCCTGAAAGAAACAGAGACTAAAATGTTGATGGGTGAAATGATGAGAGAAGCTGCCTTTTCACTTGCTGAGGCCAAGTTCACAGCAGGGGATTTCAGCACCACAGTTACCCAAAATGTAAATAAAGCCCAAGTGAAGATCCGAGCTAAGAAAGATAACGTAGCAGGTGTTACTTTGCCAGTGTTTGAACTGGCAAACCTTCATTACCATGAAGGAACTGACAGTTATGAACTGACTGGGTTAGCCCAAAGTGGGGAGCAGTTGGCAAAATTAAAGAGGAACTACGCCAAAGCAGTGGAGTTACTGGTGGAACTGGCTTCGCTTCAGACTTCCTTTGTTACTTTGGATGAAGCCATTAAGATAACCAACAGGCGTGTCAATGCCATTGAACACGTCGTCATTCCCCGGATTGAACGTACTCTTGCTTATATCATCACAGAGCTGGATGAGAGAGAGCGAGAAGAGTTCTATAGATTAAAGAAAATACAGGAGAAGAAAAGGATTCTCAAGGAAAAATTTGAGAAGGACTTGGAGCAACGGAGGGCAGCTGGTGAGGTGATGGAGCCTGCTAATCTTCTGGCTGAAGAGAAGGATGAAGATCTTCTGTTTGAATAATCTTTCCTGCTCTGGTTCTTTCATAAGCTCTAACATGGCACCATTTTAATTCACGGTGTGTAGGTTTGGTATGTGTGGCTATTTATTTTTTGGCCTAAGAATTTCACTGGTGGTAAAATTTCCCTGGATGTTGGTTATGGGACTACCTTTGCAAAATCCTAATTCAGCAACCATTTATCACATGAGATTTGTAGCCCCTGCCCAGGAACTTGTAGAATTTATTCAGCAGCAGCAGTACCCTGCTCCATGTACATCTGTTCAAGTGATCTGCTTACCACGCATATTAGGAAATCCCCCTTAGGAAACAGCAGTGGTCTCAGGCCAGCTATGGCCGTGGCCGCCTGTGTTCCCACCTGCTCCGACACCGTGGCACTGCTGTCTGAGATCGCTGCGGCCATCCTGTGGGACCCTGGTACTTGTCTCCAGCTTTATGAAACCTTCACTATTTGCCTTGCACGGCAGGTCTCTGTCCTGTCTGTCATGGGAGTTCTGCCAATTTTAATGTGATTATGGTATAAACAGTAAAATGATTTAAAAATGAAAAAAAAAAGAACAAGCTTGAATTCAACTCAGATTTGGAGCTTCTAAACTTGTGCTGTTCAAACAGTAGGCATATATGGTTACTGAACTGAGCACTTGAAATGTGGCGAATCTGAATTAAGATGGTCGGGATGTGCTAACCACCAGATTTCAAGGACTTGCAAGGAAAGATGTGAAATACCTCATTAATAATTTTACATAAATTTTATATTAAAATGGTATCTTAAATATAGTTGACGAAATGCTATACTAAAATAATTATTAAAATTAATTTCACCCATTTATCTTTAATGTGGTTACTAGAAAAGTATACATTGCACATGTGACATATTTCTATTGGATTGGAGTTTCTAGCATTTTTCACTGTAATTACAACTCAGAGTGAAGTATCAGCTTTAGACCCTCCACTTCAAGATCACACGAAGAATCTATATGAATCAACAAATTCTGGACCACTGACCTTTGACATGTATCTAAAAAATCATCTAAATTCAAGAATAGAAAAGTAGCTCTGGGAATAAACTAATACAAGGAAATTCATTTCAATGTTCCTCCACCTTTTGCGCACAGAATTAATGGAGTTCTTAAAAAAATTTATAGATACCCATCCTCCCCAGAGATTCCAGTTCAGTAGGTCAGGGTGGTACCCCAGGATTTGTGTATTTTAAAAGCTCCCCAGGTGAACCTAATGGACAGCCAAGGTTGCATGCCACTGTATAGGTCATGTTTCTACAAACACATACCTTTGTGTATTTCTTAAGGGCCACTAAAATACCAGAGGCTTTGGAATGCAGCTGTGTGGCTGCTTCAGTAACAGCATAGCTGATTCTGAGGACCAATGTAAGGAATGATAAGACTGTGACAAGCAACATGAAGTTGCTGTAATCAGGGACTTAGCTTAAGTCATTTCCTGTGCCCCTTCCAGGTAAGTTTTGTATGTGCACAAATGGAAGGGACTCCTATATTTCCTTCTGCCTTCAGTTCACTCAGAAAGCACTTAGGACTAAGGAGGAAATATAGCTTGGTGATTACAAGCTGGGTACTGAAAGCGGACTACCCAAGTTCAAAATGCAGTTCCCTAGTTATTATAAAAATGTTGGCACATTCCTAAGCCTCTTCCCTCATCCACAAAACAAGAAAAAAAATGTATCTACTCATTTAGTAGGCCCAGTTCTGTAACCTATCTATAAAGTAGTTAGCATAACATACAGAAAAGCCATGCTTTTTAGTTGAAGTCACTGCCTGAATCTTTTATGTTTGGCTATAGTTTGGGATTACCTATAGTAAACCTTTCTTTTGTTAGCTCAACAGCAAAAATACAAAAACAAAAACAAAAACCCCTGAGTGTTGACTAAAAAACATTAAGCCTCCATTTCTCCATTTACAGGGCTTTCCAAAGCAAGAAAGCATCCTAATCTCTCACCTGTCAGACTCTTCAATCCTGCTGTGAACAATGACTGGAATTCTGGAGACTGCAACTTCATTGTAAATAGATACTGCTTGAAAAGGCACAGCCTACTCCAACTACAGCCCAGTAACGGCCTGCGCCAGGGATTCAGGCACCTCAGCATCTGGGGGCAAGGTCACCAACCACACATCTACAAGACAAACATGCATGTACAATAATGAAATTTACAAGTGAAGGAAAATAAAGGGATTTACTGCAATTTTATTTAACATCTGAAAGACAATCTCCTGTTCAGATGAAAAAACTGAAACCAGTGAGAATTTGAGGGACAGTCACCTATGACTAGATCTATGCTTGTGGCTATGCAGTTTTGTACTCCTGAAGCACTTACTGGTATAGTCGCGTTATCACCTTTTACTGTTACAGTGCTCTCTGGAGAGGTGGGTTTCAGTTAAAGCTTGAGGGGAGCAGGCTGCCAAGGACAGTGGTTGCAGAAAAGGAAACTCAAAACACTAGAAGATCTGACCTCCAAAACACGGCACAGTCAAGTTTAACACTGTACTTCCCCACCTGCACCCGATATATGACCCAGGGACATTTCCCAGGCATTGAAAAACATCTTCCTAAGACTTGTCTTAGCTGCCCGCTTTTTCCCTCATTCACCATTCCTTTCCATCCTGCCGGCTCCTGAGTCCCACCCACACCGATTTCCACGTGAAGTGGGTCTCCGTGAGGGACCGACAGGATTTCAAGTGGCCCCGACGGAAACCACAAGTGGGTCATTCCTTTCCGCGGGAAGCAGATTTCAAAAAGCGTTTCCCACCAGGGGGCGAGACGAGTTCTCCTCACCCAGACCACGTGGGGAAGAAAAACAGTGTCCTTCCAACTTCGCCTAAAATCAGAAAAACCCGCCGAGGACCCTGGCCTTGAAGTGGCGTGTCCCGCCCCTCACTCCGGGTGCCAGACCGAAAAAGCTTAGTGAGACCCTCGGGGGGCCGGCCACAAAGAACGGAAAGTGCCCGGGGAAGCCCGATGATTCAGCCTGCAGTTACTGGAACGTGGCAGGGACGCGGCCCCACGACCTGCACGTCGAGCTCTTTGCTGCGGTGGAGAAGGCCTCTCGCCGCCAGAGGGTCGCACCCTCCCCAGGCGGCCCCCGTCGCCCCACTGCCCTCCCTGCGGCGCGCACCCGCACGCCCCCCGTGCGCCCGCTCACCGGCCCCACCGCCGCCGTCGTCGTCTTCGCCACCCCGCGCACTTCCGGACGGCGGACGCCGTGACGTCACCGCTGCGCGCCGATCGTCAGCGAATGGGGAAATCGCAGCGAGGCGTGGGTGGGGCCCGAGTGGGCTCTCTCCGCGGCGCCTGCCTTTCTACCACCACCCGGCTAGAAGCAGAGCGCGGTTTTGCCGCGCCTCTGAATCCAGAGTACGCCGCCGGCGGTGCTCCTGGGGAGTTCGAGGCACCAGGGTCTTTTCTTTCTTTTAAGTACATCTCCCTACACCTCTCTTGCCCTGAGGTGGTCAGACGCCCATCTGCGTTGCATGCCCGTGTGATCTTGGGCAAGTGTCACTCTTTTCCTTTGTAGAATGAGACTGTCAATAAAACCTATTACAGGGGCTTGCCAGGCTTTAATGTCATGTTACTTCCCAGCAAGGAGGGAAGGCTCAGTGAGTGTTATTACTCTTGCCTTTCCTCAAGACCTAAGCAGAGGGTTTCAGACACACAAGTTCTAAATTTAGGCCCTCTAGTTCGTTAAAATTACTGGGCATATTTTATTTTCCCACCTGGTTTTTGTGAAGTCTGAAGGCTACTGCAGCTGCAAAATGAAGAACTTGGATTTGATTCAGTTCTTTCGTTTTTTCCAAGGCTGAGAAGAGTAAATAAAGTAGCAAAGGAGTAGGAGTAAAGCCCTAGATCCTTAAAAAGGGACACTTCCAATTAATTTGCCAATTATCTTTAAAAAAATAAAAAAATCAGGGCACGTGGGTGGCTCAATAAGTTAAGCGTCTGCCTTTGGCTCAGGTCATGATCCCAGGGTCCTGGGATGGAGCCCTGCGGTTGGACTCCCTGAGTCAGCTTTGTCCCTCTGCCCTTCCACCGGCTCATGTACATACTCTCTCGCTCTCTCTCAAATAAAATCTTTAAAAATAAAATAGAATCTGCATCATATGTTTTCATTAAGTGTAGTCTTAATAGCCCTGTAATTCCCCTAAAATTTTCCTAGGAAAATTCATGTGCCATAGTATTTCTGTGGTTTCCAATGATCAGCCCTCTTAGCTTCAGGGCTATTAGGTATCCCATTTTGAGAAGAACAGGCCTAGTTTCCCAAGTTGCTGTTCAGAGGCCAAGCATTATATTTCTTCATGTGGCAATGAATATATTCATATATCCTAATTAGCCTGTGCAAGAAAAAAAATAGAGAATTCAAAGTGAAAGAGCATAGCACTACAGAAATAAGACATTAACAGGATAACAGAAGACATTATGGACAATTTTACTGACAATTTGACACTGAGGATGAAATGGACAAATTCTTTGAAATATACATCAAAACTGAAACAGGATGAAATTTAAAAATCTAAATAGTCCTTTACTACTAAAGAAATTGAAATTTGTTCAACTTCCCACAAAGATAATTCCAGGCCCAAATGGTTTTAGTGGTCAAATTTATCAACCGCTTAAGGAAGAAATAACACCAATCTTCCATAATTTTTGTTCAGAAAATAGAGTAGGAAACATTTATCCTCTAATTTGGGACCAGCATGACAACTGATAACCTGAAATAGATAATAACCAAAAAAGGATTTATACATCAATATCCACATGAACCTAGAAACATATATTTAATGAAATATTAGCAAACCAAATCCAGCAAATTGGATTTTGATCAAGTTTGGTTTATCCCAGGAATGCAAGATAGATTTAATATTTAAAAACCAATCATTGTTATTCACCCTATTAGCAGACTAAAAAAGAAGACTGTATGATCATCCCAATAGGTGCAGAAAAAGCACTTAAATTCCACACTTATTAATGACTATAACTCTCAGAAAACTAAGATCATGGAACACTACATCAAAAACTAGCAATGTGTTGTATGGTGACTAACAAAATTAAGTTAAAAAAATAAAATTAAGAAAAAAAGAAAGAAAACTAAGATTAGGAGACATCCTTAATCTGGTAAAGGGCATCTATGAAAAATGTACAGCTGCCATCATACTTAATAGTAAAATATTGACTACTTTTCCTCTAATATCAGGAACAAAGATGCCCAGTCTCATAAATTCTTTTCAATATTTTACCATAGTTCATAAACATTAACATGAGAAAAAGAAATAAAAGATGTCATAATCAGGAAAGAAGCGACACTGTCTTTTCAGATGACATAATGGTTTGCATAGGAATCGACAAAACTACCTGAATAAGTGGATCTAGAGGTCTTAGGATTCAAGGTTAATAATTTAAAAACAAACGTATTTTTATTCAGTGGCAGCAAATATAAATAAGTTTTAATATTTTAAAGATTTTATTTATTTAACAGCGCACAAGCGAGCGGGGGTGAGCACAAGCAGGGGGAGCAGGAGACAGAGAAGCAGGCTCCCCACTGAGCAGGGAGCCCGATGCGGGACTGGATCCCAGGACCCTGGGATCATGACCTGAGCTGAAGGTAGACACTTAACCAACTGAGCCACCCAGGCGCCCCAATAAGTTTTAATTTTACAGCATTTTTTAAAAAGATTTTATTTATTTGACCGAGACACAGCGAGAGAGGGAACACAGCAGGGGGAGTGGGAGAGGGGGAAGCAGGCTTCCCGCTGAGCAGGGAGCCCAATGCGGGGCTCAATCCCCGGACCCCAAGATCATGACCTGAGCCGAAGGCAGACGCTTAATGACTGAGCCACCCAGGCACCCCAGTAAGTTTTAATTTTAATAATAGCTTTAAGTATAGAGATACAGGTTATAATATAGAAACAAATGTAGCACGAGAAGTTATATGGTTAGCAACCAATCATGTAAAGACAGGCAACATCATCACTTATTAGGGAAATACAAATTGAAGCCACAGTGAGATGCCATTACATACCTATTAGAATGTTCCAATCAAAAACCTGGGATTATCAAGTGCTGCCAACAATGTAGATCAACTGGAACTCATACACTGTTGATAAGAATATAAACTGCTACAACTACTGTGGAAAACATTTTGGCAGTTTCTGATAAAGTTATCTCTACTCTTAATATACAACCCAGCAAACCTACTGCTTGATATTTAATGGAGAGAAAAGAAAACTTACGTTCACATCTAAAAATGTATGTGGGGACAGCTGGGTGGCTCAGTCGGTTACGTGTCTGACTTTTGATTTCAGCTCAGGTCTTAATCTCAGGGCCATGAGTTCGAGTCCTGTGTTGGGTTCCATGCTGAGCATGGAGCCTACTTTAAAAAAAAAAAAAAAAAAAAAAAAAGGTATGCGAATGGTAGTAGTAGCCTTACTGATAATCATCCAAACTTGGAAATAAGCCAAATTTCCTCCAATAGATGTATGGGTAAGTAAACTGTGGTACATCCATACAAAGGAATATCACTTAGCAATATAAAAGAGTTAACTCCTGATATATATCTAAATCTAAAATAAAGAAAGTCAGACTCAGTTGGCTACATAATGATTCTATTCATAAGACATCCTGGAAGAGGCAAAATTATAGAGACATAAAACAGCCCAGTTGCCAGAGGGAACAGCAGGTGGAAGGAGGGGCTCACTACAAAGTGGCGTGAGTGAAATTTGGGGGGTGATGGAATGCTTCTATATCTTGATGGTGGTGGTGAGTGCATGACTGTCTGTCAAAACACATGAACAGTACACTAAAAAGGGTAAACTTTCCTTTATGTAAATTATACCTGAAAAAACCTGACCAACTATTTTCTTTCCTTATATTAGCCAAAACTAGAACATGAAAGTTTAAAGATATATATTTAAAAAGGCTCTCAAGAAATGCTTATTCAAATAAATTCAACTATTAAAGCATTTCCATATGAAGGTAGAATGAAGAACTTTGAGGCCATTAAACTAAAGCGGAAGAGAACTCTGTAGACAGATGCTGCTCAACCTTCTCCCCAGGACAATGGTGAGAACAACCAAAGCAATACAAAGTCCTTTCTGCTGCACACAAGAGGTTTACTATTATCTCTTAGTATAGACCCATCCTGAGGGAAATAGAATTTTACCTGCAAAGGAACTGACATTTATTACACAGAACTCCTACAGGAAGTATTCTTATTGTATATTATCTACCCCTAAGTAAATATGAACAGAGGGGACTGTTAGGTAGGGCAAGTTTCCATTATACTATAGAAACACCACTGCCGTGAGTAGTATTCTGCAGTTAGAATGCAACATATTAAAAAGTAAAGAAAATTAGATAAAAACAGCTTAGAATTATTTATTGTATATACAAACTTCAAGTCTTAGTTACCAATGCTGGTTTGAAAACCCATTAATGTTGGTTGGCATGCACTTCAGTGCTGGCTAAAGACTCCCTCAGGACTGGACAGCTTTCAACTTTCTTCAGAGTGGATCAGATTTTTTTATTCCCAGTTTATACATCTAGTAGCCAAAATGTGGCTCCCAAATGTTCAGTTGTCTCTGTTCATCTAAGTTTTGGTTGTGTTCCTTTAAAACTGAATCATCTCTGCAAATCAGAGAGAAGTGACAGACTATGTGAAACAGTTGTGAATGCAATGCTGTTTTCATCCATCCATCCATCCATCCATCCAATATTTGTTTAGTGTCTACTGTGTGTCCATGGCATGTGTGAATGCTCACAGTAATAAGTCTACATAGTAATTTATACTATTCTTAGAACGCTGACAAGCATCGTATTCTTATTAATCCTCAGGAACATGCAATGAGGTATTTTCCAATGAGAAAACATAAGTACAGAGAGGTTAATTTGTCTAAGGTCACACAGGTAGTGAGGAGCACACACAGAATTCAACTCAAACATTCTGACTCAAGATCACTAGAGTACTCTGATGAAGCTTAAGAAGCAGGCAGGACAAGATCCTGCAGGGCTGGGCACCTCACATGGTGACACTTGAACTTCATTTTAATGGTAATACGAAAGAATTGAAGGTTTTTTAGGCAGGAGTTTTCATAAACCTACTGTATTTTCGTGTGACTAGTCTGGCTGTAGCATGGAAAATGGGTGGAAAGGCCTGGTACATAAACTTATTTTCTCCCAGTTCTGGAGGTCACAAATCTAACATGAGTCCAACAGGCCTGCATTCCCTCCAGAGGCACTTGGGGAGAATCTGTTTGTTTTCTTTTTGGTCCTTTCCAGCTTTGAGAGCTTCCCTCCCTCCATCTTCAAAGCCAGCAAACATAACATCTTTTCTTTCTGACCTTTTTGATACCTCCTTATATGGATCTCTGTGATTACACTGAGCCCCTTGGATAATCC